AATTAGATTCACTATGTAAGGTACTACAATCTATGTCTGACTGAACACGAGATATTTGTTCCATCATCTGTTACCGTCACTTCCATGACAGTGTTCGGGATCTGAAGCATCAAGGTTCAGCTGCATGCACAAACTCAAATCAGGGAGACGAAAATTTGCTCAACCAAAACAAAAGGCATGAGGAAGTCACCAGATTAACAAGACTAAAACAATTCCTCAACCACTGATGATATATCATAAATCATAAATAAATCTAATTAGTCATCGTGATGTGTGGGCAAAGTATTTTAGTGTAATTTTCTAAATTCCATATTTATTTCATCATTTCCTTTAACGAATTTTAAAAACAGAAATATCTTTTAAAAAATGAAAATATTAAAACATTGCTTTTAAAACGGATTATTTATAGTTTGTTTTTATTCTCTATCACAATTATTTAGACCACAAATCTTTCATCTTAGACAAAATAAGTGGATGTGGATTTCTTTTACATGTTTTTGTATAACAGATCTAAACATAGCGGATTTGTCGAGTTGTCACCCCTATCAAAAACTCGACCAGTGTTTATATGCTTGGATCAAATTCAAATCAAACCAATAAAATTAGATATATATTAGATCGAGTATTAAATTTGTCACACTCAGCCTTTATTTGTTTGAAGAGAAGTAGGAAAGACAGAAAGAGAAAAGAGAGAAGAGATAACAACTTTTTTCTTAGACCAGCTTCAATGTTGGGTTCTTATGTTAAGTTTTCCACCTGACAGCATTAAAGTTAAATAAAGTAGTTGCAAGAGTTCTCCAAGTGGAGAACGTATTACGTTGAAGCAACGGTCTTTATATTAAAAAAAATAATATAAATTAACTAGCCGTTGCATAACGGTTCATTTTTTTTTTTTTTTTTTATTTTAATAATTTATTTCTTTATAAATATGATAAAGTGATAAGTTGTATACTCAAATTTGCTCTCATAATTTTATTTCTTTCTCTCAATTTGTTCTCATAATTTTATTTATTTCTCACAATTTATTCTCATAATTTTATTTCTTTCTCACAATATCACCTTCCTACTTTAAATTAAAATTGTTTAGGCCAAATGGATCCTAATCATTTTCATTATCAACAAGCGATGTTCAAGTACATGTCAAATTATCAAAATCCTAATCCTCAAAATTCTCAATTTCCATCTGTGCCAACAAACCCCGCCATATTTTTTCCGGAAATACCGATTGGGTTTATGTCCGGATGTCAAGTTCCACCAGTTTCTACTCAAGTTGGTACTGAAAAAGAAGAAAGGGTTGTCGTTAACAAAAATCTCGAGAGCAATTTACAAGGGATGAAGATATACTGCTTATCCAATCATGGCTCAATGTTTCAAAGGATCCAATTGTGGGAGTTGATCAAAAAGCTGAGAGTTTTTGGTTAAGAATCGCTGTCAATTATAACCAGTATTGTGGGCAATCGCGGGAAAAGTTAGGAGGGCAATTAAAATATTGATGGCATCGAATAAATGGCTTGGTTCAAAAATTTGTTGGGTGTTACAAACAAGCTGTTAATGGAAAAAAAAGTGGGACATCGGAGAACGATATCATGGTTGTTGCACATGCTTTTTTTGCTCAGGATGAAGGTACAATATTCAATCTTGAGTATGTATGGCGATTGTTAAAAGATGAACCTAAATGGATGGGAGAATCGATTGGAAATTCTTCAAAAATTACAAAGAGCTCTGCTAGTGGGGCATCATCGGATAACCCAGATACACCTTCAAGTTATGAGTTTAACTCATCATCACCAATGGAGCGTCCAATGGGACAAAAAGCAGCAAAAAGGAAGGGTAAGGCAAAGGAAATTCCAAATGCAATGCAAGATGCAAGGATTAAAAGAGCAGCAGCAATGGAAAGACTAGCTCAATGTAAGGAGGACGAGCTAGAACTAAAGGCAATGAATATCATCATGAAATGGTCATTAGTACCACTTTAATTTATCAACACCTATGTAAAATGGTCATTAGTACCACTTTAAATTATCAACACCTATGTAAAATGGTCATTAGTACCACTTTAAATTATAATAAATATTATGTTATTCAAACTAGTCGTTATTCAAACTAGCCGTTATTCAAACTATCCTTTATTCAAACTAGCCGTTATTCAAACTATCTTTTATTCAAACTAGCCGTTATTCAAACTAGTCGTTATTCAAACTATTCGTTATTCAAACTAGCCGTTATTCAAACTAGCCGTTATTCAAACCATTATATATACTATCACTTATGTCATTGTTTTCCCATTCTCATCTTATTCTTCTATCATACTTCTCTAATTCTTCTCTCATTTTTCTATCATTCTTAATTCACTAAAATGGATTCAGACAATTCAGATGATTTTGACCAAGAATTTTGGGAGTTGATTGAAGAAGAATTTATCGACGATAATGATGAAGAACAATTGCTTGAAAATGAACGTCAATCTGGAAGTTCATATATGCCAAAGAGAAGAACAATGGTAGATCGTAGTCGTGAAGAAGGGCACAATCGATTATTCAATGACTACTTCTCGGAAAACCCAGTATACACAGATGTTCAATTCCGAAGAAGGTTCAGAATGCATAGGCATGTATTTCTTCGAATTGTAGATGCCCTTGAAAATCATGATGAATATTTCCAAATGAGGGTTGATGCAACTGGTAAAATGGGTCTTTCACCATTGCAGAAATGTACATCTGCTATTCGTATGTTGGCGTATGGGTCTCCTGCTGACGTTGTAGACGAATATGTTCGAATAGGTGAAAGCACTTCAATTGAGTGCTTACAAAGATTCGTTCGGGGCGTGAATGCTGTATTTGGGGCTGAGTATTTGAGAAAGTCTAACAACATTGATGTTGAACATCTTTTACAAATGGGAGAGTCACGTGGCTTTTCAGGTATGTTGGGTTCCATTGATTGTATGCATTGGGAGTGGAAAAATTGTCATGTTGCATGGAAAGGACAATTTTGTCGAGGTGATCATGGAAAGCCCACAATCATGCTTGAAGCAGTGGCATCACAAGACTTATGGATTTGGCATGCTTTTTTTGGTATTGCTGGTTCAAACAATGATATTAATGTGTTAAACCAATCCAACGTGTTTAACGATATTTTGGAAGGACATGCTCCCAATGTGCAATATACAATCAATGGAACACCATATAATATGGGGTATTATTTAGCCGATGGTATATATCCTGAGTGGGCTACATTTGTGAAGACCATTTCAATGCCACAAGGAGAGAAGAAAAAATTATTTGCTCAACATCAAGAATCAGCTAGAAAAGATGTGGAGAGGGCATTTGAAGTGTTTCAATCTCGATTTGCAATTATACGTGGCCCAGCGCGTGCCTGGCACATGGACACCCTCAAACATACCATATATGCGTGCATCATATTGCACAACATGATTGTTGAAGATGAACGACATACATATGGAGGTAATTTTGATTACTCTTATGATAATGTGGATAACAATCACTCAACAACTGAAACATTTAGCGGTCCTCATCCGAATCTTGCAACAAGACTACAAAGAAGAGCAAATATTCGTGAAAAACAAGTTCATCGTCAACTTCAAGGAGATCTAGTCGAGTATATTTGGGAACGTTTTGGACATGAAGATGATGAAATTTAAGTTTGATTAATTTATGTGATGTTATTTATTTTTATTGTTTTTAATTATATGTAATGTATTTGAAATTAATTTTAATTATCATTTTAAATTATAAATTTAATTTGAATTTTATTTATTTTATATAAATTTCAATTTAAATAATTAAAATTATTATTTTAAATGATATAGAATTTAATATGAATAAAATATTAATATATAAAGTAAAGTTGTGGGACCCATTATGAGTTCTTTAGAGTTGCACCATTGGAGTGAAAAACTAGTTGGATTGCTTCAAGCTGACGTGGCTTAATGGATCCCGCAAAGAACCCAAAATTGAGTTGCACCATTGGAGATGCTCTTACTTGGAAAGCAATGAAATAGAGAAGAGAGATTAAAAATTAGTGGGACCCACCACTTAATTGAGAAGAAATAAGAGAGATTAAAAATTAGTGGGACCCACCACTTAATTGAGAAGAAATAAGAGGGTAACCTCTTCTAATTTTATCCTTTTTTCAACTGTAACATTTTTTGTTTTATACATGCTAATTATGCAAGAAATAAATTGTCAATTTAAATGCCTCTGCAATGCACATATGAATTATTATTTTAAAATAAATTATAATACAAAGTAGTGAATAATAAAATTTGAGGATTTTTTCTTTTATTTTTTATAAGGTTTATGTATTTTTTTATTAAGGTCAAAATAAAATTAATTAATTTAATTTTAATAATAATCTACAGTGATTTAAAATTAATTTATTTTTATTAGTTTATACCAAAAAGTTAAATTAAATTATTTATTAAAATTATTTGAGTGAATTTTTTAATTAGTGGCATTTTAGTATTTTTGTAGAAAAATCAACATTTCTCTCTTCTCTATCTCTTTTCTCTTTCTCTAATAACAATCTACACATCAAATCATCTCTATTTCTCATTTATTTCTCTCTTTTCACATTCTTTCTCACTTATTTCTCTCTTTTTAATCTCTCTTCACAACCAAACATACCCTCAAAGAAAATTACCCGGAATCAAGTTTGTTAATGTTTCACTTATCACTATTTTAATCACACTGAACACCAGTTTATCACAAAGAAAACTTGAACTGAACTACAAGAAATTAAAATATTAATAAATTACACATCCACTAAGTCTATCACAAGATCAACGAAAAGAGTATAACCACAAGCCGCAGAAGATTTTACACCAAACATCTCAATCCCAAAGTACATAATCTATTGACCTTTTGGTATAGAATGTTCAGCCTCGTTTGTTGCTAAAATTGCTGCTACATATGAAATGAAGCTGAGGCAAAGGTGCATTACAAGGACATACAGTGCAATTTTGATCTCAGCTATTCTTATCCCTATTCATCCAGCCCATAGTCCTCTCCAAAATACTTGTCAACTAGACTGTTTGCCATAGTTCTCAAGTCTTCATTTTCGTGAAACTGAAATCTTTCCATGGCTTCAATCCCATCTTCTTGTTCTACAAGCTTTGAGCCCTTTCCATTTGGCATCCCTCTCAGGACCTACATAAACAATAAATCATAAACAAGCCAGGGTTTAGATCTCGGAGACATGATTACACAAACAAATGAACTGATATAGCCATAATCTATGAAGAAATTATTTATACAACCATCAAAATCTTTTACCAGTTCTATGAACTGAAGCCCTAGCCTAGCAGCTTCAATATCAGCAGATCTAACCAAATCAATAAAGCCTGGCAAGCATCCTTTTTCAACAAGAGAAACCAAATGCTCCGGGATCAGACTTGGCTTCTCGTCACCTTTAGTTGGGGCAACACAAAGGTTTCCCAATATGTAAGCAACTTCCTTTCTTATATCAAACGGTGCAGCGGAAAGAAGGTGCAATAGCAAAGACACTGCCTCACTAGAATATATCAATTGCTTGTGCTCAACAGAACCAGCAGCTATATTAGACAGCACCCAAGCTGCTTCCTGCACATGATAAGAAAAATCTCCCGTCAAGCTTAATCCAAATTTTTATTGAATCAGATATCAAATTCTATACCTTGTTTTTTTCAATTCTATACCTTCTTTAAGACCCTGTGTTCACTTTTCAGACATTTTATCAAGACTTGTATGGCAGTATCTGAAATTGTCATTATATAATCAGATGAGAGAAATTGATTTTTAGTGTTTGATTAAAATGTGTGTATTTAGCTTAGCAAGTATTGAAAAAATCACTAGCCTGTAACTTCAAGTCCAGGTACAAGAACAGCATAACTTGCATGGGAATCACCAGCAATGAGATTACCTAAACTTCGCAAAACCTACAGGGATTTCCCATTGTTATTAGAAACAACAGATCAATGCAAATAATAAAAGCATTATGATTTGTGTGCATTGTATATGCTAATCACAAGAAAATATGTAGAAAAGTACATCTTTACAACAAATCAATCAAAAGTTCTCAAGATCATTACCGGTATCATTAATTGCAAACTGTTTGATGTTGCTAATCTATTTAAAAGCAATTGAAGCACATCACTCTTCACCAGCATGCTCGTGGCTAAATTTGAAAGAGCCGATAGGTAAACAACTACCCAAGCTACTTCAGTTGCTGATTCATCATCCCTGAGGTGACAAAACAAAATAATATGACAATTATTAGGGTAGTCTTTCATGGATGCTGAGTCTATTGAAAACAGCTGCTGGATATTTCGGTAATGCTTGCAAGAAATAAGATTTCCACATAGTCATAATAGCAAAGTTAACTTTATGATTACAGTGGTTACAGTTGCAGCCACAAAATTTTCATGCTTCATCCAAAATAAGTTAATAGTTTAATCTTTGATCTTCGATTAAAAATTAGTGAGGTCCCATCAAGTCGCATTTGGATGGGTGTCATTTCCACCCAAAATAAGATAGCTCTTTCTATCTTATCCGGATATTCCGTTGGCCTCAAAATACAACTATTCATTGATTAGCAAACGATAAACCTTCTCTCCAAACTTCGAAATCATCTTCAAGATGCAATATCCACAATCCAACATTAAGCTCTAATACTAGCTGATAGATGCTGGTTCAAATATTAGAAAGAAAGAAAAAAACATGATTTTATTGATAAAACCTCCATTAACCCTAGATCAGTGATGAGCCATAGTTAGGAAGATAAACACAGGCTATTGATATTCCTCTCAGGAGTTCGAGAGCCTGAGACTTCTCCCACCAAAACAAATCCCAACTATCCAGAGTCCTAATCTTCTCCCCCTCTCACTTAATAGCCTACTTCTTCCAAATTCTGTTAGAACTCCAACAAACTCTAACTTCCTCAACTAACAAATCCAACCTGATTGGACTTACCTGATGATTTATTCAAATATGCTTTATAAACCGACATGTTTGTAAATTTCATTTTGATAATTGTATTGTGCTTTTTCTACCAAACAACGGAACACAATAGTTTAAATACAATAAATAATTAACTGTAGTGGCATTTTAAACAATAAAAGTTAAGAGTAAAAGGTGGGAGTCATATGCAGACATGCACAATAAACCAACATAATAATATTAAGAATGCATGTTAGAAAGTAACTCACGCTTTCGTCAAGTGTCGAACAATTGAATCCAATACTCCATCAATGCGAATGAGCTCGTTAGCAGCTTTAGGATTTAGACCCTATATGCAAATATTCTGAAATCATATAAAAACATGTGCATATGGAATGATCCATCTTCCACAAAAATCATAATGCACATGGGACCACAAAAGCCGATGACTACATGACACATCTAAACATATGTGGACCACACACAGTACAAGCAATGAGGATATGAATACAGTCACATAGAGTGAGAAATCATTAAATAATTGATACAAAATCAACCACTCAAACAAATGGTATGAAATATTCATTTGATGGATTTAAAACCTTGATTAGATTAGACAAAGCCCAGGCAGCGGTTCTAACAGTTGAACGCCTGTTTGGAAGCATCATTCTAGCAAGAGGTACTAAGGCCCCTTGAATTAGAAGAACATTCCTCAACTCTTCATCTTCACCAGCCACATTTCCTAGTGCCCAAGCACACTGTTCAGCAACAGGTGAGGAGCTCTTTTCTGCAGAACAGGACTATTTGTGAATTTTAAAGGTAAATCATTAAATAGTTTCAACCTACAAGAACTTTGCTATAACACTGGATATAGTTGCAAAATTAATTAAGGTGGACAATTTAGAAAAAAAATAATGAGATGCCAATAGGTCTAAGTTCCTTTCATCTAATTCTTTCCTTAGATAATAGATAACTTACAATGCTTTAACAATTAAGGCTAGAAGAATTCCTCTAAATCTTTATATAAAAGTATCAGTCAAAAAATTATTTAATTTCTTCACATGCAAAAGGAATCTTAAAGTGATCACTCACCCCCGAGGTGAGCAATAAGCAAAGGCAATGCAGGCAGCAAAGCTTTTGTTTCTTCTGGATTCCCTGCAGCAATGTTTGTAAGACACCAAGCAGCTTCAAGCAACTGCAGGAGACATTAACAACAACAAAAAATTGAAAACTGTAAGAAATTTGCTTGCCATTAATGGTTCAATATGCTTTGCATAACATGCACAGATATGTGTTGAGACCTGTTCATCTGGCGAACCAAATGAGAGACACTGCACTAGTATGGCAACGGCTCCAGCTTTAACAGCAGACTCAACAGGAGGAAATTCAGATCTTGACAGTAAACGCCTTAATTCTTGAAGAGCGCCTACTCTTTTCTGCACTGCACCCTTCCCCCTATCAATTAAAAATTATATAGTGTGACATTATGCCAGAGTAAAAGAATATGCAAACTTGCATTTGATACAAGTCTGTGGAGAAAATATGGCCAACATATTACCAAAGACTTAAGAGAAAACATTATTCTAAGATGATCAAAAAAGAAAACAGTGTAGGTATACAACATCAATCTTAGTGCCTCATCAGAAGATCCTGCATCAGAAAGCATATGAAATTATTACATGGTTAAAAACTTTCCCCTCTAAATCAGAAGATTCAGAATACTTGGAGACTTAATTTTCCTCAGACCAACAAAACTATCTGCTAATCATATGTAAAATATGATTGTAAAATCAAAATTGATATGAACTGCATAACTTCTATTAAACAACTCTTCACGGGATTGATCAACTTTGCCTCCATCTTCCACCAATAGTCTTCAAATCTTCGTACATAAACTAGAAACGTTTTACTGGAAATCTGTTTTACCCACAAACAACTAGTCTAGTGTTGCCCTGAAGTCCAGATTGCAGTAGCGTGTTACACTTACACTAGACCGTCGGCATTTATTGTACTGACCTAAACCACCAGCAGTTTAAACAGGCAAACACGGTGGTCCAAGATAGGGTATGATTAGTTCAAACCATGAGAGATATTGTTTGGGTACTTCAATACATGAACAGATGACATGGAAAGCAACAGCAAGTAAATTCAAAAAGGGTATTGGAGTTTAACATCTAGTTTTTTCTAAAGTGAGAGAATCTCGGAGAAGAGTAAAACAATATGCCAATGATTATATTATAATGGGCAAACTAATTCAGATGAACACTGCACCAGTATTTATATTATAGCGACACGAGTAGCTTGCTTAACACAGTAACAGCTAACCGAACTTATTAGAACTGTTCAAGTCAAGAGTTAGTTAAACCTTCTAACTAACTAACTTGAATACATGAGAACTTGAGAAGCCACTTAGCAGCAACACGCACTATGAGTCAATTTGGATTGGCCTCTAGCCTATGGGATCTTCACCTAAGGAAAAAAATCCTTATAAGCTCATAGATGTTTATAGAGAAGTTAATGAAAAAACTTATAGAAACAAATGAGATGCATACGCTTGTTTCAACTTATTCAAGAAACTGTTACTTAAACAGATAGGACTTGCTTGAGCTTATGTACTGACATAAGCGCTTGTGAGACTGCTTAGAAAAGCTTATGACATTTCCACAAGCTATTTTCAGCTTATTTCAATAAGCTCTCCAGGATACCTTATGAAAACACCCTGTATGAGTGGATTTCATCTAAAAAATGTTAAAAATCAATTCTTAAAACTTGGAACATGGTAACTCACTGAGAAGCAAGAGCAGATTTCAAATTGTCAACAGCCAACAAAGTTTGAGACTCCAAAAAAGACTGCTCTTGATCAAGCATCATGTCAACATCAACTTCACCCTCGCTAACTCCAACCCTACAAAGCCGTTTCGCACGCACCAACGATTCCCTCCTTTCCTTCCCAATCGTAACTGCATGTTGCCGTCTTCTACTACCCGCAACACTCCCAACTGAAAACAAAACACAGAATTAAACCCTAACGCTATGTTCTATCAAATTGAATCTATATAAGAAACTAATTGCTGGGAAATGAATGTGGCTATAGCGTTGAATAGAAGCGTACCTGATGATTTAATAGGATCTCTTTTGTTGCTAGAGAAGACAGAATCGGCCATTGAAGATGACTGGAATGTACGTGTTCGGAGCGGCTGAAAAGAGTTTCAGCGGTGGTTCTCGTTTTTATAACGGTACATGAAAATGGGATCCACGGCGGTAATAAGCTCCAAATTACGTTTACACGTTTCTAAATTATAGGAAAGTAGATTCATTTGGTGCGATATATTGAAAAAATCTAGTAAGTGGGTATCGCTACACGCATTTTGTTTTTAAAATATGATATAAATGAAAAATAAAAAGACAAAATTATTTAATTTTAAAAATTTATTTATATTTAAAATATAAATATAAATATTACGATCAATCATATATTTTCTCATATATAAATATTAATTTTGTTAATCATTTAATCAAAAGTTTATTTATATTTAGAACATAAATGTAATATATTTTTTATATGTAAATATTAATTTTGTTTTGATATTATTTATAAAATATTTTTATAATTATTTAACTTTATAAATATCAATTAATAATATAATATTTATAAATATTGTTTTAATTATATAAATAAATATTAATAACATAAATATAGATATTTTGCTTGTGTTTAAATTCATAAATTATTTGAAATTTTTATTTTTTTATTTTTTTTAATTCGTACGAATTCTGATTTAAATATTCGTATATTCATATATATGGATATTTGTGAATTACAACCAATATTTATAATTGTGCTTAATAATTTTAAGTAATTATATATTAATATAAACAATTAAAATCAAAATCAAAATTTAAAATTAATAATTATAAATTATTGAAACAACATAATTGAAATTGATTGATAAATAGTATAGGATACATATTTACGAAATCTTTATTTTAATTTATAAGAAATTATTAATCACTTATGTTTTTTATGGGAAGAAGCAAAATAATGACATATTATAAAAACAATTAACACACTCAAACTATAAATCAGCTTTAAAATTAATATAAATAATTGAAGGGACGTTTGGAGAAAATAAAAAGTTTCTATATAGTGAAAGAAGAGAAAAAGGGGAAGCTATGGCAAACAAAGAGTTGTTGAATTAAGAAACAGGCCACGTGGAAGCTTGTAGAAGTAGAAGGGTAAATTTGTCTTTTTCAAAACATAGAGTTTTCTATAGATAAAAAAATAAAAAATAAAAACTAGAACTAACTTGAACGGAATTTTGATCTTTATTTTTAAATTTAGTTTTTGTGTCTGTTAAACAAGTGTTTAGATTTTTTTCTCACTTTAGTTTTGATGATGTATCAGACTCATTAATAATGCACTAGAGTTTACTTAAATTTGTAATATTTTAAGCGTTCAATTTATTCTAATTAATATAATTTATAATAATAAAACATATAAATAATATAAAATTGATCTCACTGAGTTTTTTTTTCAAAAGCAAACTCAATTTATATTATTTGATAAATAGCATTCAATACAAGGAGTAACCAAATAAAACATTGTGCATCGAGACTAAGAATTGACCTCCTGAACTAAGCTATGAACAACATAATTAGTTTGACGTTTAACAAACTTGATCTCAGAGTCATTTCTAAAAACTATAAGATTCTTAATATTATCAATGATCATACGATATTCAGAGTTATCAGATGAAGTAGCGTGAATAACTTAAACCACTAATTATGAGTCACTTTTAAAGATGAGATGATTCAAGTTTAACTGGATTGCTCCTAGAATCGCTTCATTCAAAGCCAATGCCTCCACTTCAACAATAGAATGTCAACCATGATCTCACGAAGTACCTGCCACCCTAAAACCCCAATCACGGTCTCTAACACACCCCTCTATTAGTCGTGCCAAGTTGGTCGTTAAACCTCGCATCCACATTACATTTCAACCAACCAGTTGAAGGAGGTTGCCAAGTACTCTAATATTGGATCCTATTAGTGTCGTCCTCAAGCGGCTCTTGGGCCAAGAAGCAATCCTTCCACAAATTATAACCTTGTGCGCCTAGGTGATTTGCATCATTCTTCTCTTCATTCCAGATTCATTTATTTCTATTATTCCACAACCCCCAAACCATAATCTCCACTCTCCCTGCTACTTTGAGATCTTCCTTACTACAAATGTCTTGGATCACATATCCTGTGTCGTTCATAATGGCAAGTTACGGCCTGATAATATGTTTAAGCTCTATAACACTCCAACAATTATTCAATAATGCACAATCGAAGAAAATGTGCCACTCGTCTTCCACGTCGGTATTACACAACTGGCAACTATATGAGCAAGGAATAAAGTGTTGTCGGAGGTTTTTCCTAGTAGGAAGGAAGCTCTGACATAAGTACCAAAGTAGATGTTTAGTTTTCGGGGACGCTTTAATTCTCTATTAGCTTCCAAACAATACAATCCTTTGAAACATCATCCACAAGGGAAACCTGTAAAATATTGTTAACAATCTCAAGTGAAAACGAATGTGTAATTTTGTTACGATCCCATTGTTTACGATAAGGATCCATAAGTTCTTGGACCATCATCGCCTTTATCTTACTATCGTCCCTAATCCTCCATATACTCCCTAATAATAACACTTCCCAAGCTTTCCAAAGACTCCTCCATACAAATCTTGGATTAGTACCTAAACTCGCTGCTAGAAAAGAAGAGTTATGAAAATATTTAGCTTTGAAAACTTTGTAAACTATGGTATCTTGGTTGGTCATGATATGCCAACACTACTTCAGCATCATGGCCAAATTGAAAGACTTAAGGTCATAGAATCCCAAACCTCCTTCCTTCTTTAGATAAATCAAATTCTCCTATGCTAACCCTTTAATACCCTTATTGTTACTACCTCCTCCCCACCATAAAGAGTTAAGCATCTTTTCTATATCCTCCACTAATGTGTCAGGAAATACAAACACACTCATAACATAAGTTGGAATTGCCTTAAGAACTGATTTAATCATAACCTCTTTACCATCCTTGGACATAGAACGACCCCTCCGTGAATTAATTCTTTTCCATATTCGGTCTTTGATAAACGCAAATGTCTCCTTCTTGCTTCTACCACCATTGAAGGTAAACCCAAATATGTTCTTGTACCCGAGACCTGACGGACACCCATGATGTGAGAAAGGTCTTCCTAGGTGTGCTTTCTTAAATTACGACTGAAGAAGACTTCAGATTTATTCAAATTGATTTCTTGGCATGATGCCTCTTCATACACCTTCAGAATCTCCGTGAGATTTCGTACTTCACCCGTATTAGCCATGCAAAATAAATAACAGTCGTCAACAAAAAGTAGGTGAGACACTGATGGTGCCCTCTACATATTTTGATACCATATATGTCTCATTTTTTCATGGCGTTCCTAATTAGCAAGGACAGACCCTCCGCTATCAGAATAAAGAGGTAAGGAGAAAGCGGGTCTCCTTGTCTCAAACCTATTCCTGGTTGAATACATGATTCGGGTTAACCATCATCTAATAATTAACAGATGTCACACACATCATCATCCAATGCATCCATTTCTCAGAAAAACCCACACTCCTCATCATATTCTTCAAGAAACTCGAATCCACTTTATCGTAAGCCTTGCTAGTGTCAATTTTGAGTACTAATTAAGCAATGTTATCACGAGTTTTACATTTCAACTTATGGATGATCTCAAATGCATTAAGAGAATTATCAAGAACTAATCTTCCCTCCATGAAAGCAGATTGTTCCTCTGATACACATTTGGATAAACACATCTTTAATTTATTGGCTAGTGGTTTCGATATCACCTTGTACACTACATTGCAAAGAGAAATTGGTCTTATATCTTTTATCAATGATGGGTTATCATACTTAGGAATGAGGCATATGTTTGTGTCGTTCAGATAAGCTGGAAAAAAGCCACGATCTAGACAATGACAAGCTTCCTAAAAAATATCATCATCGCAAACATCCCATAAATTCTGAAAAAATTCCATATTGAAATCGTCGGGACCCCGGGATTTATTCGGGTGCATATGTTTCAGCGTTATTAACAGTTCTTCTCTGGTGATAGGATTCGAAAGCTTGTCATTATCTTCAGGAGAAATAACCAAAGAGATGAGGTTGAAAATTGGTGCATAGTCACACTGTCTTTCATGAAACATGTTGTCAAAGTACCTTTTAGATACTTCTTTCAATCCTTAAGAATGCTTCACTTCTAAGTTGTTCTCATCAATAAGCATCGTGATTTGTTTAAACTTCCTTCTATCTGACGTTGTCATGTGGAAAAATTTAGTGTTCAAGTCTCCATATTTAAGCCAATGTAATTTGGCCCGCTGCTTCCAATACACTTCTTCCTTAATAAGCAATTGGTTATGTTTTCGTTCCATCATTAACAACTTCTCCACACTATCAGGGTCGTGTGACCTTCAATAGAATTCTATCTCCCCTTCACAATCCTTTACTTCTTCTTTGAACCATGATATCTTCCTTTGAGGTTGTAAGAATAAGATTTGGTAATATTATCTGAGTTTTGATGATAACAAATGAGTATGTTGTATTAACAATTTTGATACTCTAATGTTTGTTATTGTTGAGTACTTAACAAACAGGTTCTGCTTCTGATTGATGGTGTGGCCAAGACATTAGAAGAGAATTGATTCCTCTTCTATGCTACACAAGTTCTGTTGAATAGTAGCAAGACACTCCAGAAGGCTATAAAGTGTAAGCTTTGATGTTTGTCTAAAGAAACCAGTCAGAAGATCTAAAGATAGAAGTTTCTACTTACGTCTAGATGCTAAAGACTCAAGCTTCTAAATACAACGTGTTCCAAAGAAACAAAGTTAGAAGATCTGGAGACAAAGTTTTTACTGAAGTCCAGATGCTGAAGACTTGTGTTTCTAATAACAAGTCTCTATAAAGATAAGGGTTCTGAAGACTCTAAAGGCACGTGTTTTAAAGACTCTAAAGACTTGAAGTTCTAAAGACCCAAGATTCCAAGAAAAGGTTCTCACAACCAAGTGCTAAAGACTCTGAAGATGTAGTTTTGAAGACTCTGAAGACTTGAAGTTATGATGACCTGAT